GGGGCCTCCATGCTCGCCGGGTCGTCTTGAGACCTTGTCTGGGACCAGCGGGCGATAGCTACTGACGCCTGCTCGACTGGGATCGGGGTCGCGGCGGCCGACGTGGGTCATGATTACGCGAAGGGATGTGGTCGTCGTGACGAGAGACAACGTCTCCGTAGTCCAGAAGAGCGGAGGGTCTCTCGCCGTCGTCTTCGTGCCAGGCGTTGCCTAGAAGTTGGTGTTCGAGATGCCCTTTCGGGCCCTTCACTGTTAGGGTATTCCGAGGTGCCCTCTGGCCCATTTACACATGCTTAATGGCGCCCGTTCGATTCGGGGCGTTTGACTGGGAAACACCCGTTTCGTATTCCAGGGGCGATGGCGTTTATTTGGGTTCTCCGGCGTCAGCCCAAGGAGCGTCGTTATCATTGCCATTGTCGTCAGCACCTATGTGATCATATGATCGTGGTCTTGGCTTTTTCAATGGGAAGGGCGCGCGATGCTAAACTCAACTGATGTTGTAGACGTTTTGCGGCCCTCTTGATGGCCACCATTTGTATGTTTCGGGCGTGATTGGCCCCATCTGAGCTGCGTTCCGCTGATGGGCCATCTCGCCGGTTGGAGCCGACTTGAGGCGGCGCGGCCCCGCGGCCGCCTCCCGGGCTCACCCTTCCCAGCGCCGGCTGCGCGATTCATGGGCCTCGCGCGGCGCGTTTTGGCGCCGGCGAGTTTCCCCGCGCTGGCCGCCGACCTGGGGGGGCATGCCAAGACAAGGCAGCTGGGCGGAGCACTCGCGTGGAGCGGAGGAGCGGGCCCTGAAGAGGACCAGTGCACTGGGCTGAGACTGGTCGCCGAGTAGGGTCGCGCCGGGAAAAGACTACGCGCCCAGAGCAAGGACCGGACCTCAGCCGCGCAGAGTGGCAGAAGCTTCTCGCGGAGACTCGAGCGGCGAAGCCCGCCGCCAGTGGGGCCCGCGCCCAGTCCGCGAAGATGATCTATGACTGCGCCAAGGTGATGGATGTGAATCCCTTGGGCCCCCCAGACTTCGTTCGGATGCTGCGCGCCCTCTTCGACGAGAAGTGCTTCGAGGGCGAGGGCGGGCACGCGGGCCACCAGGTGGACTACGCGCCCGAGCACGGGGCTACATGCCCGAGCGCGGGGAGATGCGGGATCTGCGTCTTCCTCGAGCTCATCGTGCTCTCGAGGGGTGGGGCAGGCAGGCCGCGGGCTTCTCTCGGCTTTGGCGGCTTCCAAGGCGCGGGCCGCCCCCTGCGCCGAACTGCCGAGGGGGCGGGGCCCAGAAATCCAAACCGGCGGCGCTCGAGCTGCTGGTCATGCTCGGCACCTGCGCGCGCCCAGGAAAGGCGCGCGCCTTGCGCGCTCGCTGGTTGGCGGCGCCAGCTCGCGACATCGGCCGCCGCTGGGCCCTCGTCTTTCGGCCGCGCAAGGATCGCGCCCCCGCCGAGGTCGGGCGCTTCGGCGACGCTGCAGAGCGGGGCCGCCCTCGTCTCCAGTGGGTCGCGGGCCTTTTCAGCCAGATGATGGAAGGGCGCCTGGCGGGGGGCCCGCTGCGGCAGTGCGCCCGCGAGGACTTTCCCAAGTTGTCCAGGGGGCTGCGGCCATGATCGGCATGCCCTCACATGGTTGCATACCTACCTCGCCACAGTGGGGCCTCAATCGACGCTCTAAACAATTTGAGACCGCTTGAGGAGATCCGAAACATGAGGAAGATGGCAAAGTATGAACAGTGTGGCGCGGTACGAAAAAAGGTGAACGGAATCTGGAGAGGTGGCAGAGTTTGCCAAGACCTTTCAGAGGATACACCACCACTTGCGCCAAGCATCTCCAGGTGAACATCGCGGGCCAGAGCAGGTTCTTCGGGGTGCCGACACTGCCCGCGACTGGGGCGGGGAGGACCTCTTCTCGGGAAGCGGGAGGTTCACGACGTCACACGCGGACCCCAGTTTGATCTGACCAGGAGAGATTTCCAGAGAGAAGTGACCGCTCGCCCAGAAGCCCGAATGTAGAGGGGCCTTGATGGAATGCCCCTTGTGCGACCTTCTCATGAGCCCGTAGAGGAAAGCCTCCTCCGCTTGAGACAAATGCATACCCTTTTGGCGTTCCAAACATCTCAGTGTCAGACCGAATGAAGGTCCAAGTCGGGAACCGTTTTGCCCATTGTTCTCTGCGAATTGTCCTTCTCTGCCGTAAGTTTGGGGGGGCGCTTGTGTGATCTAGAATCCCCAAACCTCGATGCCCTGCCGCCTTCCCAGCTTCGAGAAGGCAGCTTCGCCCTCGAAAGTTGTAGTTCGTGACGCACATGTCTGTCAGTGGGAACCGAGTGGCGAAAAGCCACCCGATTCATGATAGGTAATATTGTTGACAAGTTGACAATTCAAGAGATTTTGAGCGCATATGCTCGGGCCGAGGCATTTGCAGTAGAACGCAATGTGCCCACATAGTCCTTGAAGGCAAAGCCCCCGATTGTCGTTTCTGGACGCTGGCCGCGACACCCTCCCCCGAACCTTTGTGCACATGCCTGGTTTGACTTGTCAAGCCACGCTAAAACACAGAACGCGTGCCCTCCGGGAGTTGCTGATGTCGGTGATTCCGGGGATGTGTATTGCAGTGTTGCCTGTGCGTGTCGCAAGGCAGCGCGTGGACGAACCCCCCCGCGAGTGAATTCCAGGCCTGACTTCATTGCTAATCTTGCTGCCGAATGAAAATGTCATGGCTTCGCGGGCACTTGAATGACAATGTGAACGGTTCGGCGCACATCAATTTCTCTATAGCCGCCCCCTTTGCGCTATCTTGAGCCATCGTGAAGGTCATCTTGGGCTCTCCTGAGGCCCTCTTGGGGCCGTCCTGGGCGAACCAATGCCCTCTGACACCTCGCGACCGCCCCCGTCCAGGTCCAGGGGAAAGGGGTACGGGGGAGGGGTGGTGGGATTATCCGTGTCCGCAGCCCCGTGGGCCAGGCGGACCGCGACCCCGCGGGCACGCGGCACGGCGGAGCGCAGCGTATCCGTGCGGCCGCGTAGCCGCGGGCTCGCGCCCGGGAGTCCAGACCGCCAGGACACGGATCCGGATGCATCGCAAACATGGATCATGAAGGCGTGGATCAGCGACGGGTCCCGTTTTCGTGGGAAATCATGGATTTCCGCCGCCGAGCGAGGCGGCACCGGCCGCATCTTCGGGAGGGCACCTCCCCCGATCCATGGATGTAGCGACCGCGGGCCAAATCCATGGATCGCTAATCCATGTTTGCGCGCCCCCGACCGTGGTTGGACTGCCGTCGTCTTGCCCTCGGCGTGTGCAGGGGGTTCCCTCGCGGGAGTGCGGCGCTTGGGCTCCAGTGGCCAGGGCACGCTCTGGGCGCGCAGGGTTTTTCGGCCGAGTCCTCGCGCGTCTCGGGGGAGGCAGCGCCCTGGAGCAGCAGCCGGTTCTCTTCGGCAGAAGTCAGGCGATCGCAAACATGGATCAAGGGGGAGTGGATTAGCGACGGGTCCCGTTTCCAAGGGAAATCACGGATTTCCGCCGCTGAGCGAGGCGGCACCGGCCGCATTTTTGGGAGCGTCGGGGGAGCCAGCGCCCCTGGAGCAGCATCCGAGCTTCTCCTTTCCCTTCGGCAGAAATCAGGCGATCGCAAACGTGGATCAAGGGGGAGTGGATTAGCGACGGGTCCCGTTACCAGGGGAAATCGCGGATTTCCGCCGCCGAGCGAGGCGGCACCGGCCGCATTTTGGGGAGGGTACCTCCCTAGATCCATGGATTTGGCGACCGCGCGCCAAATCCATGGATCGCTAATCCATGCTGGCGCGCCCCCGACAGTGGCCAGGGCACGCTCTGGGCGCGAAGGGTTCTTCGGCCGAGTCCTCGCGCGCGTCGGGGGAGGCAGCGCCACTGGAGCAGCAGCCGGGCTGCACCTTTTCATCGGCAGAGGGAGTGGTGGCACCGAAACATCTGGCGGCAGGCACTGGACTGCGCTGCATGCTTTGTTGGCTTGGCCAGTCCTGAGTTAGCGTTTTAGCACGAACGTTGCTTCAACAGTTGCGACGTGGACCTTGCACCCGTGCCCTGCATCGTTGCTCCCGTGGCCGTCCGTACGCACCCCGACCAGCCCATCCAGGAGTGCCGCCCAGGGAAACTGTTTTTTTATCGAGGGAGCGTGCCTTCACTTTGAGAGCTCGGGCTGCGGGGGGCCTCTGTGGGATTGGGACAGAGGCCTCTTGGAAGCTTCTCGGGCTCTCGTGGGATGTCCCTTGGGGTCCTCTTGGAGGCCTATTGAGGTGTCTTTGGGGCCGCCTTGGCGGCCTTGAGTGGCCTCGTGGGGCATCTCGAGTACCTCGTGGGGGCCGCTTAGGGCCGCTTGGGGGCCTCTTGGGGGCCTCTTGGGATCCTCTTGGGCCCATCTTGGAAGCATTTCGGACCGTCTTGGGGCTTCCCTGGAGACTATCGATCAAAGACAGGGGGCCCTCTACCGGCATTGCCCCCCCGGGGCAAAAAGAAGTCCCAAATCAACAAAAGGAATTATGTTTCATGCCTTTCCGGTGAGGCCATCTTGGACGCTCCAGTGGGTCGCGGGGCGCCCCGTCCAGACCCAGGGAAGGAGGAGGAGAAGGTTGTAAGAGGAAGCGCTCTAAACCGTTGCAACCCCTGCGCCCCAAAGGGCTGGTGGCACTGGTCCACCCTCTTCCCTTTCCTACACTTCAGCGCAGCCGCAAATCATTCGACTGCAAAGTACCCTTATCTACGGTCGGACCGAGGTATAAGATGGAGGTCAGTTCGGGGAGGGTACCCTGATGTTCTTCGTGTGTGTGTGTGCCGGATGATCTCGTGCATCCTGGGGGACGGTCTTCTCGGATGTACTTCGGTTTGGCCGGCGCAGGGTCTCATGTTCTCGGAGGATGTTTTGGTGCACTATAGGTCTGGTCGCATCGTGCACCGGTGGCGCCCACGCACCCCTCTCCCCAGCGCTCCCCCGCCCGCTCTGCCTGGCGCGCCTGCAGCCCCGGCGCCAGGAGTTCGAGCGGCTGCTCCAGAAGCAGCGCCCCGCCGCATCCCCCGCCGCAGCGCTTCGGGCGGGGTGGGCGCGGAGGGCGGAGCACAAGCTTTACCTGCTCCGCCCGTGGAGGAGCGCGGGGAACAGGAGCATCAATGACCAACGTTTTTCAGAATTTCTCCCTCTCTCTCTCTCTCTGCCTTTCCCTCCTCTCTCTCTCTCTGCCTTTCCCTCCTCTCTCTATCTCTCTGCCTTTCCCTCCTCTCTCCTCCGAATTTCTCCCTCCTCTCCCTCCTCTCTCTCTTTCTCTCCTCTATTCCACCGTGCAGGCGCAGGGGGAATGGAGTATTGAGGCTGTCGGAAGTCTCCCTCGTCGCTCTCCCCCTCCTCCTCCCCGGGACCCGCGGAGGGTCTCCGAGAGCTTCCGGAGACTCCTCGTCCCTCCTCCTCCGATCATCTGGTGGCCTTTGGCACATCCTGCCCTGGCCCGAAGCCGCCGTCACTCTCTCACTCACCAGCCTCAAACTTATCCCTATCCCTAAGATTGACACGCCAGAAGGCGATGCCAATCTTAGGGATGCGCCCACAAAACCTAAGGGAATCCCTGAGATTGGCATCGTGATGAGGCGATGCATGCAGCATAGGGACAGGGATATGTTCCAGGCTGGTAGTTCACCCCTGTTTCGTGCCTCGCCCCATGCAGCGTGCTTCCCGACGCAGCTGGGCCCTTGGCGCGCTGCCAGGGCGCCCCACGGTGGAGGCCCAACCACCCACGTGGCTCGAGGCGAAGACAGGACGAGGAGAAATCTGGACGACTGGTGAGATGAGGAATCAATCTCTGAGAGCCGTTGGATCTGGAGGATGCCTTGGTTGCCGCGGCCATTCCAGATCGTTCCGGAACGCTCTGGAGCGATGTACGTCCATCCTGAGATTCCTCTCGCTTCGCGGGGTGCACGTCCGGAGCACGTACAATCACGTCGTCGCGGGGCCTCTTGGGAGCCTCTGGGGGGCCTCCTGGAGGCCTCTTGGGAGCTTCTTTGGGCCTCTTGGGGGCTTCTTTTGGGCCTCTCCCCCCTCCCTCCTGTTCATGCTCCCTCTCCATATCCCCTTCCAGCGCCAGCTCTAATCATGCGCGCCGCCGTGACCAACTTCCACCTGGCTGGCGCTGCGCCGTCGTTCGCCCAGGGGGGGAAATAACATTACGCTCCAGTCGTTGTGTGGCCTTGTGGGGGCTTCTTTGAGGCCTCTTGGAGGCTTCTTGGGGATTTCTTGGAGGCCTCTATGTTTTTTTTGGGAGTTCCTTGGGGGCCTCTTGGGGGCCTCTCGGGGCCTCTTGGGGGCATCTTGGGCCGTCTTGGGGCGTTTTTGCGCCGTTCCGCCGCTTCGGAGGCCGTCTTGGGGGCCTCTCGCGGCCGCCTTGGGGTTCTCTTGGGATCCTCTTGGGCCGCCTCAGCGTTTTTTTTGGACCGCCTTGGGGGCTTCTTTGAGCAGTCTTGGGGCCCTCCTGGGCCGTTTGGGGCCCTCTTTGGAGCCTCTGGGGGCCTCTTGGGGACGTCTTGGAGCCGTCTTTGGGCGCTCTTACGCCGTCTGGCCACTTCGGAGGCCACTTTGGAAGCCTCTCGCGGCCGCCGTGGGGCTCTCTTGGGGTCCTCTAGGGCCGTCTTGGGGGTTTCTTGGGCCGTCTTGGAGGCTTTTTTGGCCGTCTCGGGGCCCTCGGGGGCCGTCTTGGGGCCCCCTTGGGGGCCTCTTGGGCTGTTGGGGGCCTTTTTGGAGGCTGCTTGGGCCGTCATGGCCTTCTGAGAGCCGAAAAAGGAGGGGAACGTTGAAATTGTTCCAAAACTATAGGAAAACAGATTTTTGCCTCTGGAGGCGCTCTCGGGAGTCTTCTTGGGGGCCTGTTGGACTTTATTGGGGGCCTCATGGGCCCTCTTGGGGCCGTCTTGGGCCGCCTTGAGGCCGGCTTGGGCTGTCTTGGGGCCATTTTGGGCCGTCTTGAAACTTTCTTGGGGCCCCAAGAGGCCCAAGAGGCCGAATTTGTTGATTCCGAATAGCTTTTTGTAGGTTTTTGGGCCCCAGAAGGGGCCCTCCACCTTGGGGTCGACGGAAGTGGCGCGACTCCGGGGGGGGTGGGTGGGGGGGAGACATAATAATGCAACACAATACAGCACGAGGCAATTATGCAAGCATTGGACACATGGGATCCATTGCGTTAGGGCTTTTCTCTCCGCTGCGCGACCTGCCTCCGGCAACACGTCACTTCCGGACGTGGATTCTATAGGCTTACGCCACATCCGCCGACCCCTAGTTAAACTATTGCGCCTCCAGGACTGCAGTTCACGAGGCTTGTCTGAATCATGGCACGGCGCTCGACATCGTTCCTGCTGCTTCGTTGCTGTTATCGTACCTCTTGGTGCTCTTTTGTGGCCTTTTGGTGGCATCTTGGCCTGTCTGCAGGCCATATCTGGCCGCCTCGAGGCATCTTGGGCCAAGTTTTTGGGCCTCCTTGGAGGCTTCTTGGAGGCCTTTGAGGTTCTCTTGGGGGTCCCTCAGGGCCTCTTGGGGTGTTGTTGGGGCAAGCTGGGGGCGTCTTGGGGCCGAAGGCTCGACAAGGTGCCCTCTGCTCTCCCTCTTGGAGCCGTCTGGGGGCCCTCTTGGGCTGTCTTGGGGGCTTCGTGAGTTGTTTTTGAACCTCTTCGACCCCTCTTGGGGGCCCCTTCGGCTGTCCAGGGGCGATATTGATGGCTTCTTTGCCCTTTTTGGACGTTTGCGGAAGCCTTCTTGGACGTGCGTCTGCGAGACATGTTCTTTTCCCCCCCCAAGGGAATGGGGCGATGTTTGCTTCTTGGGGCCCTCTTTGGACGCATCTTGGGGTCCTTTGGGGGCGTTTTGGCAGCTTCGGAGGCCGTCTGGAGGCCATCGTGAGCGTCAGGGAACGACATTTCGGCGACCCGTGGCCCTCTGGGACCGTCTGGGGAGCATGTTGGTGCCTCCTTGGCTCGTTTTGGAGCCCTCCGTTCCCCGGGTCGGGCCCTGGGGGTCATATTGACGGTTTGGGGTTCTTGGTGGGGGGATTCTTGGGGGTGGACAATCTCACACGCCTAGAGACCCACAATGGGTCGGCGGATTCGCCAGAGATTTGGGCTCAGGAGTGGTCACCCATTTGACTTGTCCTCCGGCGCTCGGGCGGCCACAAGGTCCTGGCGAGGCGTTGTGAGCATTGCTGGTGGGTTGGCCGCGCGCGCGTGCTGGGACCTCGAGTTTCCTTGGCGATCTGCTGGGGCTGATCTTCGAGAGCCGTTTTTGTTTGTCAGCCCTCCCGGCTGCAGGGGAGCGGGCTCGGGAATTGCGCCGGAGGGAGGTCAACGAACGAGCCGTGCCTGCCTGGTGCTCCGCCCGAAGACGTCTCATTTGGGCGTCGCGTGCGCTGGATGCGACTGGATCTGGGCCGCCCCCGTCCTCACTTTTTCCTCCCCCTTCCTCCCCGCTCCCTCACCTTTCTCCCCCTCGCTCCCCCTCGCTCCTCCTCGCTTCTCCTCCTGCCTTCTGCCTCTTGCCTCCCCCTTCCCTCCTGCATTATCCATCCTTCTATTATCGTGCTCCTCCTCCTCCTCCTCCTCCTCCTCCTCCTCCTCCTAAGCCGTTTCAGGCGCTTGTGCGCCTCGGCGGCCATCGGCGGCACGTGCTGCCTCCTCGCCCCTTTTTCGTCTGATGGCGTCGGCGGTTCGGCTTCGATGGGTGCCGGCCCAGCTCCGCGCGGGGCAGCCTGCTCGCAGGTCGCCCGCATCCGGCCGTGACCGCGTCGTCATGTTCATCAAGCTTCTTCCTGGACTCGGTCCTCGTATTCTGAACGGTGCTGCTATTTCGTTGACCCCCTTTCTCGCCGTGACACTGGGGATCATGCCGTGGTGGTTGATCACGGGCATAAGAGCTCGAATGTCATATCGCATATTTCTATCACGTATCATCCTTTACCTGCCGCTGTTGATCCCTTTCCTCGTCTTAGACGTGGCGACCCCCATGGTTACAGTTGCGACGACGGTTCTGCTGGAGGCGGTCCTGGTCCTGGCGGGAGTCGTTGTCGCAGCGGACGCAGTGGTGGAGTTGCGGTGGGCCTGAAGCTAGGCGTCCTCAGCTTTGCCCTCATCGTAACGGTGCTGGTCCTGCCGATGCTCCCGCGTGGCCACAGGTTGGCGGGTGCAGCTCCATCGAGTTGCCGACGATCCCGTCTTTCCCCTTCAGCAAGGACGCTCCTGCTTTCCTTCCCGCGCCGGTGTATGGGACTGCGGAGGTCCTCGCGCCCGACCTGGTCGCTGCTGCTGCTGCGTCGGTGGGTATGCCTGATGGTGAAGTGAATTCTGGTACTGCTATTGCTGGTGACACTTGTGTGAATGATGATTGTGGGGCCCGTACGGATCTCATGGGGAGACTCGATAACTTTCTGTTGGGTCGTCCTCTGTATTCTTGCGGCCCCGCTCCTGAGGCTGAGGCAGACGGAATTGCGGTCGGTGTGGATCGTGATTGTGCTCCTGACCATGATGGCGACGTTCTTCCTGCTGATGGCGATGCTCATGGTAAAGTTCCTGCTCAAAATGTCCCTGGTCGCGAAGGTGTTCGTGGTGGTGTGGTTGACGTTCTTCTGTGGGTCTCTCTCGGTCCGGTGGTGACCTCAGTCGTGCTGCAAAAGGAGCTGCTGATGGTGGTGAGCTTGATCAAGCTCCTTGCGAAGCTGGTGACTGTCCCCATGCTTCTTGCGATGGCGGTGCTCGTATTGGTGTGGCTTTTATTCCTTTGGGGTTCGGGCGTCTTCCTCAGGGTCCTCGCCGTCGACCTCGCCCTCCTGCTCTTGCTTCGCTTCCTTGGAGCCAGGATGGTCCTGTTGCTACGTGTGACCAGTTTGTTTGGCTGCAGCACTCTCGGATGCCTGTTGAGCCCTACATGGCGGCCCGCCCCCTTCTTCGGCGGATGCGGGTGGACCTCGACGAGTACTCGCAGATGGACGCGGCCCTGGATGAGTGGGCTCGGTTCCCACACAGGGCTTTGCAGCGCATCGAGGAGCAGAACCCGACCAACCCCTATTGGAGCAAGGCCGCGCAGAGGACCTGAGCCGTGGTTTTCCGTGACTTTTGGAGGTGCTGCCACTGGCCTTGGGTGTCCTGCGGATTTTTCGGGTGGCAACGTTGGATAGTCGGATCCTTTCCAGCACCCGGAGGCGGCCTACCTGTTACGCGTTCCTTCTCAGGGGGCCTCTGTTCCACCACCCGGGGGCGGCATTCTTCTTCTCAGGTGTTAATGATTCCGTCGTTCCATGTCTCCTTGTGGTGGGTGTACGGCCAGTGGTTCTCCATCGCCTATGCCGATGACATCCACGCGGCGGCAGGATTGGCCCCACCCCATACGGGCCACCGCTTGCGATCTGTTGTGTGTGCGATCCTTTTTGGGGGGGAAGCACTGGTCTTTTTTCTTCTCCTCCTCCTCCTCCTCCTCCTCATCATCGTCCGTCCTCCTCCTCCTCCTCCTCCTCCTCCTCCTCCT